TATGAGGATACCACATGTGTGTATCACACAAATCAACCAATTGTATCAAAACGAATGTACTGTAATGTTTGCATGGAACATAGGGAATATAGCTTAGTGTAGAGTCACCTATAGCAGTCCCTGTTCCTATAAGCCAAGCAAGCCTAGCCTACTAGTACATGTCTGCCCCCAGGAGTGCCATGTTCACTGGCCAAGAAGTGCCGGAGGCTAAAGAGAGGAAGAGCAAAAGAGTTTCCATGGTTACAGAAGTGCAGTTGTCCACAGGGGATGGTTGAGACTGGTGTCTTGCAGGAACATAGTTGGATGTGCAGATGGGTCAGCTCAAGTCACATACATGGTCAACAAGCAGGCAAAAGGATCAGTCCAGGAAACGGGCAGAAGCATGATCAATAAACAGGCCAGGGTTAGTACAGGCAGCCAGCAAAGAAAACACTGCACTGGTGTGGCGGTGATCAGGAACACTGTTGCTTGCTTACAATTATTTGGTGATACTGTGGACTAGTGTGATAGCAATCAGGAACACTGTGGCTGACCTAAACTGGTCTGGTGACACTGGGACTGATGTGGCGACAATCAGGGACACTGGTGCTGGTTTACACAGGTATGGTGACATTGTGACTGGTGTGCCAATGATAAGTAACATTGTTGCTGGAATATGCTGGCAGTGAACTGGTGTAGCTGTGATTAGGGGCAATATGAATTGTGTGGCAGTGATCAAAGACACTGGAATTGGTGTTTCAGTGATCAGGGACACTGTAACTAGTGTGGTGGTGATTGGGGAAAATATGACTGGGTGTGGCGGTGATCAGGAACACTGTGAGTGGTGCCATGGTGATTAGGGATACTGCATGTAGTGCGAAAGTGATCAAGGACACTGTGGGTGGCACAGCGGTGATTAAGGACATTATGAGTGGGCAGCAATAATTAGGGATACTGTCTGGCAGCACTGGTCTGGTGACACTGTACTACTGTGGCGGTGATCAGATATATTGGCTAGCGGCACTGACATACAGTGATATCAGAGCAGCCACCCATTGTTCATGATCACCGCCACTGCAATACGGTGTCACCAGTGACTCTGGTGACCAGGGGTGGACTGACAACTCATGGGGCCCCCGGGCAATAGGGGATCATGGGGCCCCTGTGTCCTTGCCCAAACTCAAAAAATCCTATGAAAAAGGTACCAGGGGAATCTCATGGGGCCCCCTACTGAGCCCGGGCCCCCCGGGCAGTGCCCGAGTTTCCAAATGGTCAGTCCGCCCCTGCTGGTGACAGTTAGACATGTGCAATTTGGTTTGTTACAAGTCAAAATTAAGGCAAAAGTTTGGTTATTTGAAGATTCAGATATATCCGAATCTCTAAATCACATTAGGAACGAATTTCAATAAATCCAAAATAAATTATAACAAAAACAACAAATTAATTTGTGTTCATACATTTTATTAGTTTACTACTTCAGAGGGTTTTGTAAGTTTAATAATATGTGTTACACTCTGTATTGTTATGATTGCCCAAAGCAAAAGTCACAAAACATCAAAGTCACAAGCAAGTCACATCGAAGTCGCAAGCAACATAAGGACATAACAAATTAATCCAAATCTTCAGAAAAACTTCTCAAAATATGAATCAATTCGGAACAATGAATGTACGAAACAAACCTGAATACGCTAAAATGAATGAGTCCAAAACAAAAAGAAACACATTTATTTGTCATGCACTTCTCTGGTGACAGTACACTATAGATACTGCTCAAAAAAATTAAAGAAACACTTTTTAATCAGAGTATAGCATCAAGTCAATCAAACTCCTGGGATATTGATCTGATCAGTTAAGTTGCAGAGAGGGTTGTTAATCAGTTTCAACTGCTTTGGTGTTAATGAAAGGCCCTGTGCTCACTCAGATCTTGTACTGTGCTCCCTACACTCATGAGACTCTGTACTGTTCTCCCTACCTTCATCAAATCCTGCATTGTGCCCTCTACTTTCATCAGACCCTTTACTGTACCCCCTAACCTCATCAGACCCTGTGCCAGCTTACTTTACACTGCACCTGTACCCTGCGAATTCACCCCCCCCCCCCCCCCATCCCTCATCAGACACTCTACTCTAATCATATCCTGTACTGTGCTAACTTACTGTACACTATGGGTAAGTTTAACATGTATTGGGATAAAAGTGTGGTGGTGGTGGTGCTGGTGGGGGGGGGCTCTCAGGTAGATTAAACAGGATACCATGGTTTCCAATGGCAGCTCTGTTAACACGTCAACAAGCATATAAGACAAATACAAATATCCAAAAATGTATAATTCCAGCCTAAGGTAGATACCTGCTATTTTTTTTCAAGCAGAAAACATTTTCAATCTTTCATTAAGATTATACCGAACATCTTCCTTATAATAATTTCCAGCTAAGTCTTTAGCTATCATTTACACGTTTTGATTGTGGAATATGTCCAGGCAATTATCTGTAGATTGTATGGATTTTTTTTTGCAGAATTGTCATTAAAACATATTTTAAACAATTTGTTCTATGCAATTACAGCAAAGAAAAGAGTAGTAGTACAGTCAGTTGTAGGAACACAATACAATACATACAGGGGTTAATTTACTAAAGGCAAATAGACTTTTAACTGTGCAAGTGCACTCTACAAGGGAACTTGCTCCAGAGCTTAGTAAAATGAGGTGAAACTTCAATGCAAACAATACCCATTTAGTACAAAGAAAAAAAAAAAAAACGCACGATGGAACTCAATGGAGCTTTCCCGCATATATAATGGCTCTGGAGCAAAATCCCTTGCAGAATGCAATGGTTGGTGTAGCAATGTTTTACTAAAGAAATACTAGTAGATACCAAAAGTCTCACGTTTAACCTCCCTGGCGGTATTCTCGAGTGTAGCTTAAAATTTGAGTACCAAGCGCGGTAACCCCGAGCTACACTCGGGCTTTACCATGCGGCGTTGCTCAGGGAGTCCCTGCAGCACTTACCTTGTCCTTCGCTCCCGCGATGTGTCCCCTGCAGCGTCCCCGGCCATCTCCTCAGGACGATGCCGGCATCCGGCTTCTGTATTCCGGTCCCTGTGAGGTCGGGACGTACGGGGCGCCGGAACTGGCGGCAAATTTGAAATTTTAAAAAAAAGTAATTTTTTAAAAAATGATTATTTATTATATAGTAAAACATTGCTGTTTCATGCATTTCACAATATTTTGTCCCTACTGCTTTGTCCTGTGCCCTGCCTACATTTTGACTGTTCTTTCTGTCTGGAAACATTAGAAAAGTCCATGGCGTCCAAAAAGCGTCCCTTTATGTCAAAAGCGGTTTTAGACCAGCTAGAGAACAGCGATAGTAAATCAGAACTACTTGCAGAATTGAGTGATAATGATTTGTGGGGGAAATTTGTCATCAGACACTGAAAACGATTTTGCGACTTTGCTCAGCGATGTGCGAATTTGCCTCTGTATTTCAAATTTCAGTGTTTTTGGAAAGATGCGGCGCTATAACACAAATATATGATTAAAACGTCCAAGATATCGGTATATAGTGGTTGGGTGACTAATGTGATCCCAAAAAATTATATCACAAGCAGAGTAACATGCGGTGAAAACCAGTCTTTGTGACAATATCTCTTCTTCAAAGTGCTGCTTCCATGCAGTGAACGTGAAAAGGATAAGGCTGTGCACTCACCAGATGCACAGTGTAACTGCGCATTTAAAAGATATAATATCTCCACTAGATCCACTGTGTAGCTTCAAAGGGTCAGGTCAAGCCAGATATTCCTCCACCCGCTGGATGTTGCTAGTAATCCACGGTCTCTCTCTTAGGTGGCTCTATAGGTGATGAGTGACTGAATTCTAAGTACTATCCACTTGGAACTTTATTCCATGTGGATAGTACTTAGAATTCAGTCACTCATCACCTATAGAGCCACCTAAGAGAGAGACCGTGGATTACTAGCAACATCCAGCGGGTGGAGGAATATCTGGCTTGACCTGACCCTTTGAAGCTACACAGTGGATCTAGTGGAGATATTATATCTCTAAATGCGCAGTTACACTGTGCATCTGGTGAGTGCACAGCCTTATCCTTTTCACGTTCACTGCATGGAAGCAGCACTTTGAAGAAGAGATATTGTCACAAAGACTGGTTTTGCACCGCATGTTACTCTGCTTGTGATATAATTTTTTTGGGATCACATTAGTCACCCAACCACTATATACCGATATCTTGGACGTTTTAATCATATATTTGTGTTATAGCGCCGCATCTTTTTTATATTTTATGTTTTTGTAAGGTTTTTTTGGTATCCTTTTTGATGCTGTGGCTGCTTTTATTTTCATAGCGCTCACAACTTCTTTTATAAGTGTTTTTGGTTTGATTATATTATTGAATTAAATGTATTATTATATTATTATTTTTTGTGATTATTAATTAAATTATAATTTATGATTTCGTGTTTCGAGTTTTATCATACCGGAATGTTTACTAGACTCTTGCATCGGACAGATTTCAGTGAGTTATTCCTAAAAATTACAGCCTACAATAAAAAAACTACCTATTTCCATGCAAAAAAATGGTACTGCTTTCGTCCCAAAAATTGGAAATAATAATACCGCCAAGGAGGTTAAAGATATGCAAAGGTTTAAATTGCTACGTGCTTGTAATTCAGTCAGTAGAGGAAGGGGGTCAGTTAGGCAGCACCTAAATGACGGACTGCACCTAATGCCATGAATATGCCAACGTGTTGCATTGAGGTTTCAAAAGAAAGTAACTGCAAGCCCAGGAAAATAAGGTCTCTCTCTTCAGGCTAATAGAGGACATTGAGAAGTGCAGAGAGAAACTGCTAACGGGGGACCAAGCATATCTCATAAGACCGATGGATAGTACCACTACTGTTGGGCAGAGGAGAGAGATCAATTGTGGAAGGTTCTTCATCAGATTTCAGGTTAAAATTTTGCAGGATAAAAGTGAGGAAAAGAAAAATCTCCATTCTTGCCATCCCTTCTCCTAGGCAGATTCTCCTTCCTGTAAAAACAGAAAAACAACAAATCATATTTTTATAGCTTTGAATTTAGTTTTTGGCTCTGCTGTATTCAGTGCTGGAGCAGCAGTCTATTTCCTATGTCTGGCCAAGGTTTCCTAAGCCTTGTGTTAGATTGCTCCTGTCTGCATCTAGAAGAAGCTTCCAAAGATAGAGTAGGAAGGTCAGCCACTGAAGTTCTGAATATTTATCCTATCACCTGATGGACACTCACTAATGTCTGGGACCAGGTGGAGACAGAGGTCATGGGAAGGATCATCAAACATTAAAGGAGAAGTCAACCTTTGGAACATGTTACAAGTTCCACCCATTTTTAGGGTGGAACATGTAACATGCTTGCATAGTTGCAGCCATATCTGCCTCCCCCCCTCCTCCCTCTGACAGATAATACGTGGAGAAGTCTCCCCATGCTATCTGTCAGATTTGAAAACAGTGTGGCTGTGTTGATCAATGTGCTTGAAACTGGTGTCTGGCACTGGCAGCCTCTGAACAGTTAAAGGTAGACCTCCTGGTTTATTTACAGGGGTCTTTCAGGGAATAAGTGCTACATGGGCAAATCATAAGCAGCTCAAGCAACAGGTCAAAGACTAGAAATGGACTTTTAGCAGTCTGCCATCCATAGACAGCTTACTGTTAATTTTTTGATGGGTGGATATTGCTCTTTGTTCTGTGTTAATAAAATTACATTCCATCCACAATTATAAACGAAACCTTGGGATGTACAGAATATTGGCAGCAAAGTCTACCTTGAGAAGTACCATGGATTTTTAGTTAGGCATTATGTAAAGTGTAGTTAAATCCATAAACAAGAATATAACATATTACAACTGACTAGTCCTCAGATGTAGTGGCTACATTAGTTTTCTTTTTTTAGGCTTTATTTCCCTTTGTTTTCACCTGTTGGTCTTCAACCCCCCAACAGACCAATCTGTCAAGCACAAATGTCAGTTATAGTGTTGAGACAAACCGTTTAGCAGTGACTACGGTGCTTACCATGGTTAACTTTTAGGCCTCCTTTACACAGACTATTACTGGCACAATATAAATGTGAAAAGCTCCGTGCCAAAGATATAATAAATAGTTATGCAGCTGCAGTCACTAAACAAACTGTGGAGTGTGCAAGAAACAAATATGTGTATGACCGCGCTCAAAATCTCAAGTGTTAAACTACCTAAAAGAAGAAAAAGTTTTAAAATATACTAATAAAATCTATCAACAAAATATTCACTTTCAAAATATTCTGCAACTCAGTTCACAAACAAATAATGTGTCTATAACAATTATTATTAGATCCAAATAAGTTCCTAATGTCCACCATCAGGTGCAATATATGCAAAAAAAAAATATATATACATATATATATATATATATATATATATATATATATATATATATATACATAATACAAATAATTTTGGCATACATATATTTATATATCATATATATACTGTCTATACATAATTTTGTGTGTATTTCACTATATATATGTCTATACAGTGTGTGTATTTTATATATATTTATTTTTATATTTTATTTTTTATTATTATTTATTTATTTTTTGCACATATTGTACCTGATGGTCGACATTGAAGTGGTTGTAAAGGCTCAAGGTTTTTTTACCTTCTGTGTGTAGTAACCCCTTCTAACACTTGCCTGAGCCCCATCCCAATGCAGCAATGTCCACGAGAGCCTTTTTTTCTCGGGGACCTTCGCTGATTGGCTGAGGCAGCAGCAGGAGCCATTGGCTCCCATTGCTGTCAATCAAAGCCAGTGAGTCAACCAGGAGAGGGAGAGGGAGGGGGCAGGGCCAAGCTGTGTGTGAATGGGCACAGCTGCTTGTTGTGGGGGCACCCGAGAAGAGGGGACAGGCTGCTCTGTGCAAAACCACTGCACAGAACAGAGTAAGTATGACATGTTTGTTTATTTTTAAAAAAAGAAGCTTTAGTATCACTTTAGGATTTGGATTTAATAATTATTGTTATGGGCACATTGTTTGTGAACTGAAATTACAGGCACACACTGGATTCAAGAGGCAAGAATCAACAGATTTTCGTGGTTTGGATGACAGGTGTATGTGAATAGCAGCAGTTACTCAGTCTGTACAAAGTAATGACAGGCTGACAGTAGCCGTCACTCTTCACATGTATCAGAACCCCAAGTAACTACCAGTGGTTAAAGGATGGATATCAAAGCTGGAAATCATGTGGCTGCGTTACATCTTACTGACCTAATAAGGACCCTGTGAGGTAGTCTGTGTGTGCTGATGCTTCAGTGAATCACACAACATACAGATAATGATAAAGAGTGAATATTCTGATTGTAGCACAGCTGCAGTGTGCTGGGATGCATTAGTTGCTCACTGGTTGTTTCAAGTTGTTGTCTGAATTTTTTTGGCAAAAGATATCCACTTTTCTATCTCAAACTTTATAGTTAAGCATTTACTAGAGAGATGCCCGTAGCAAAAGGAAAGAAAAGAAAATAGAGCAGGGCAGACATGACGAGGCCAAGAGGGGGTTAAAAAAAAGACAGGAAAGGGTGAGAGAAAAGTAAGAGGTGGGTTTTAGCTAAGGCTAAGTACCTGATTGGTAACTGGGGGTGGAAGGTGGGGTCTTCTGCACCTGTGGGTGTGTATGGGGAGGGTCATTCTGCAGTCCAGGAGCAGACAGCGGAGAGAGAGCTTCCCTCCCCCCGCCCTAGGGGTTGAGTGGGTGTTTTGTCAGGGCGGGAGGGGGTGTTTATTCTAGTTTCAGGAGCGGTTGTTGGTCTTTGGAGACAGCACTTATTTTGAAGTAAAAGATAATGGTGTGGGACCCATCAGCGGTATGGTGTGCACGGGGGTATCCAGTTAACCAGGGTTTAACTGGAAGGTGCTGGTTCTACCCTGTGGATGGTATGTTTTGTCTCCGAGCCCATGCGTTGCAGCTGGAGGCCTAGTTATAGTATTGGTTCCGCAGGTGGATATAGGTTCTGGTTTGGTGCCTTTAAAGACCAACAACTTGTTTTATATGTTTCTGTTTTAAGGAATGTTTTCTGTATTGAAGTTGAAGTGTTAATAAAAGGCCATGTTGGTCATTTTACTCCAATCGGTGTTATGTTTTCTTTAATGATTGGTTATAGTGGGGGGTATGTGAGAGAATGAGATGGTGGTGTAAGGGGTCTTGACTAGCCTATCTCTTGTGCACTAGTCATGTAGTAGGTACAGAAGGATGTGCTCCTCTTAAATGTTTGAGACTGTAAATGTTTGGAACTGCATGTTTAGCCATGCCTGCCAGAGAAATTTCCATTTTCTTCTATCTCTTCCCCCTATTCCCACCCTCCTTCTTACATTGGGTCCAGACTGAAAGAAGGGAAGATGCTGCTGGGGTGAGCATGATGGGAGATGTAGTCCCCTTACAGTTCTGAGGAGACAACAAAGCAGGAGGGAGGAGCAGAGGGATTCATAGTGCACTGCCTGGGAAAGTTCGGGGCAGACCTCTGGGGTCCAGCTGTCTGAAGTCTCAGCTACCAACACAGCCTGAGTGTCAGCTGTCGCCAGCAGGAATTGGATCATAATTGTGCTCACCACTTTACCAGTTCCAACCTACCTGAGAGAAGGACAAATATGATTGCTCGTTGTCTTCAGCCGTTCTCTGGAGCTTGAGCCAACGATCCATGAGGGACCCCTCCTCCATCTGCAACTAATGCTGAGGTGCAGGACTGGTGAGAGGGTTATTAACCCATTGTCCACACTGTATGGCCACTCATTGTTGCCACACATTCACTCTCTCTACAATCTAATACCTACCACAAGAAGCCTACCATAGACTTTTAGTTGACCTACTCATAGTTACATAGTTAGTCTGGCTGAAAAAAAAGACAAAAGTCCATCCAGTTCAACCATTAAAAAAAAAAGTTATAATCCTATACCCACATTTGATCCAGAGGAAGGCAAAAAAAACCCCCAGCAAAGCATGATCCAATTTGCTCCTGCAAGGAACAAAATTCCTTCCTGGTCCCCTGAGAGGGAATCGAATATTCCCTGGATCAACTTTACCTATAAATGTTAGTATCCAGTTATATTCTGTGTATCTAAGAAAGAATACAGGCCTTTTTTTAAAGCTCCTTTGATCTGATTTTATATTGCATCTCTTACCATCTTCCTTTTGCCCTCCTGTTCAATCCACCATTACCAGGTTCACCTGCACCTCATTGTACCTTAACTGAGTGCAGGTCTTATGTCCCACACCCCACTGCAAGTGCACCACCATTAAAGGGCCCCAACGACAGCCAGCAGAAGAAACCATTCAGAGATTGCCTCTTCTACTTAATTTGTCTAAGTCCCACCTGACATGAACAGTAGCCATACCTGTAGAAAATGGCATGAAAGCTTCATTCTTTTGAAAATGGTCCTTCTCATCCAGAAAACGATATGGGTCAAATATATATGTGGGTTATTAAAGTATTTTGGATCCTTCAAGACTGAAGTCAAAAGTGGGAAGACAGTTGTGCCCTAAATGGAGATAAGGAGAAAGAGACAGCATAAAAAACAGTGAGGTATTGATTATACTGACAGTTATTTCATGATCTGATAACCTGGTCAACATTGTGGCTGAGTAGTTAACACGCTAGCCACCCTAGAGACATTCGCTATGTTACTTGTTGTGGAGGTGCATAACAGAATTGGCAAAACTACCCTTTTGATCTGTTATGTGGCAGCAATTATTTACCAGCAGACAGTGACTATTACCTACTACCTGGCCAACAATGCTGGTCAATAAAACTCATACTACCCCAAAATGTCTGCTAAAACTTACCTGTATGGGATAGCTACAGAATGGAGGGATATACTGTATTGTGCTGGCCTGGGGAGGGACTGTGTGACATCCGAGGGAAGAATGTTCTGAAACAGGGTATGGGAGAAGGGATCTGTGAGAGAAGCTTCTGGAAGAGGGTCGCTGAGAAAGACTTCAGGGAGGCATCCATTATATTGTTTAGTCAGATTCCTGTTTTTTCAGTGACTTAGGATAGCACGGGAGGGGGGGCTGCCAAAGTTTCCACTTGATTCTTCTGTATGTCTAGGACAGAGGAAAGCTGACTACTATATTTTTAGGTGCCACATGGTCCCCTTATGGAAGTTCCTTGTGCTACAGTGACTGCCTTTCATATATCCAGCTTCCGGTCACTGTTTACAGTCAGAAGTTTCTAGGACAGGAACTCAACACATATGATTAATGTGACAGTCTAACATAGTGATCACATGATCGGGGGCCTCTGGCATTGACATCCCCTTAAAAGGCTGACTCATACAAAAAAGATCACAGTACATTGATTAAAAATAGTATAAATCATAATATCATTTTCCAATGCATTGGTAGGCCACAGGGGGTTCTCTTTTATTAATGATTTCTGCACGTAATCTACACCGTGGGACTTACAATTGAGAAGTAAAACTCAAACTCAAATTGCTACAGAAGTAAAAACCCTCTGACCTTGGGAATGGTGTAGCCTCGGAAGCAGGTGGTTTGGGCAGCTGCATGAGGTGCACCTAGTGGCAAGATATCCCCAAATCTCTGTATCTCATGTATCACGGCATCCATAAATGGCATTTTACTCCGATCTTCCATAGATGGGCATCGATCTGGTCCAATCACCTGGTCTATTTCTTCCTGGACTTTAGCTGTAAAGAGATGAATAGATGTTAAGAAAGAAACTTTTATTTTTCAAGCCTAGTGCGTCCACAATCATTACACCTGCACTTTGGGATTAGGCGTTTGCCCCAGTGTAATGGAAATGTTATTCAGTGTTTTTTCATTGGAGCTGAAATGTAATATATATATACATATATATATATAAACAATGTGCACTATCCTATAACATAATATACTAAAATGAGCTGCTGCAATAATACTTAAAGGTGATCCCACACTCAATACAATAAAATAAGAACAATAGTGTTGCTAACTCATAAAAGGAAAATCATTAAATAAGATATGTGACCAAAGTAGGATATAAGTAATTAGAAATGCAAAGTCCTTTTGTTGTGACAGCTCAACCCAATACTGAGCTTGAAAAAAATGTGCTTGAATAGAAAATATGCTCCACAACCACAACCGACAGTGCTCCACCGCAAATACCTGTAAGTGCACCTCTCCAGGTGAGAGAGAGAGGAGCACGGCCTAGGCCTCACATCACTGCACTCCGCATTGTACTCACCACAGGGTCACATGACCGCACTGGCAGGAGAGATCATGTGGAAGTAGAATGGTTACCATATATAGCTCTTCCAGTTTTGTCTGAATATCTGAATATCTGAATATCTGTATAATGTCTGAATATCCAGAGCGACTTACCAGACTTACCTGAATATCCAGAGCTGCGACTTACACTTGTACAGTTAGCATGGCGGTGCTAGGTACCTGATGACCTGGCCCGGGTGAGGACAGCGCTGCATCCCTGGACAGGCGTCCAGAGACATTCTTGTGGTTCACATCTCCATACAAGACACTGAAGTACATCTTCTGGAGAAGATAGAAATGCCTACTTCTGGTTATCCTGATCACAGTTCTACTACACCTCTTCCTGGGAAAATACGTCTACTCCTTCCCAGCTGTGAGAATGATTACCTGCCTTGGGGTAATGTGAAGCCTGATGTTTCATCATCGTACTAGGAGGACATCTGTTACAGCAGTGACAGACAGAATATCACCCCCATACCATTGACAACCAAGCAGGCGTCTGGGGGGCATAGTGACACCTTGAAAGTCTGATGAGATATCTTAGTTCAGAAGCTGCCAACAACAGGACAGGTCCAACATACAGTATATGCATATGTATATGAGCGGGAGAAGACCGAAGACAGGCCGAAACCCGGGGCAACCAACAGGTGGCGGTGCACTTAATTGCGGTGGAGCACTGTCAATTGGAGTTATGGAGCATATTTTCTATTCAAGCACATTTTTTTTTTCAAGCTCAATACTGGGTTGAGCTGTCACAACAAAAAGACTTTGCCTTTCTAATTACTCATATCACGTTATTTAATATATATATACATATATATATATATATATATACACAGTGGGGCAAAAAAAGTATTTAGTCAGCCACCAATTGTGCAAGTTCTCTCACTTAAAAAGATGAGAGAGGCCTGTAATTGGCATCATAGGTAGACCTCAACTATGAGAGACAAAATGAGAAAAAAATCCAGACAATCACATTGGCTAATTTGGAAAAGAATTTATTTGCAAATTATGGTGGAAAATAAGTATTTGGTCAATATCAAAAGATCATCTCAATACTTTGTTATATATCCTTTGTTGGCAATGACAGAGGTCAAATGTTTCCTGGAAGTCTTCACAAGGTTGGCACACACTGTTGCTGGTATGTTGGCCCATTCCTCCATGCAGATCTCCTCTACAGCAGTGATGTTTTGGGGCTGTCGCTGGGCAACACGGACTTTCAACTCCCTCCAAAGGTTTTCTATGGGGTTGAGATCTGGAGACTGGCTAGGCCACTCCAGGACCTTGAAATGCTTCTTACGAAGCCACTCCTTTGTTGCCCCGGACGGTATGTTTGGGATCATTGTCATGTTGGAAGACCCAGCCACATTTCATCTTCAATGCCCTTGCTGATGGAAGGAGGTTTGCACTCAAAATCTCACGATACATGGCCCCATTCATTCTGTCCTGTACATGGATCAGTCGCCCTGGTACCTTTGCGGAGAAACAGCCCCAAAGCATGATGTTTCCACCCCCATGCTTCACAGTAGGTATGGTGTTCTTTGGATGCAACTCATCATTCTCTCTCCTCCAAACACGATGAGTTGTGTTTCTACCAAACAGTTCTATTTTGGTTTCATCTGACCATATGACATTTTCCCAAACCTCTTCTGGATCATCCAAATGCTCTCTAGCAAACTTCAGACGGTCCGGACATGTACTGGCTTAAGCAGGGGGACACAACTGGCACTGTAGGATCTGAGTCCCTGGCGGTTGTAGTGTGTTACTGATGGTAGCCTTTGTTACGTTGGTCCCAGCTCTCTGCAGGTCATTCACTAGGTCCCCCCGTGTGGTCCTGGGATTTTTGCTCACCGTTCTTGTGATCATTTTGACCCCACGGGGTGAGATCTTGCGCGGAGCCCCAGATCGAGGGAGATTATCAGTGGTCTTGTATGTCTTCCATTTTCTAATTATTGCTCCCACAGTTGATTTGTTCACACCAAGCTGCTTGCCTATTGCAGATTCAGTCTTCCCAGCCTGGTGCAGGTCTACAATTTTGTTTCTGGTGTCCTTCTTTTGTCTTCACCATAGTGGAGTTTGGAGTGTGACTGTTTGAAGTTGTGGACAGGTGTCTTTTATACTGATAACAAGTTCAAACAGGTGCCATTGATACAGGTAATGAGTGCAGGACAGAGGAGCCTCTTAAAGAAGAAGGTACAGGTCTGTGAGAGCCAGAAATCTTGCTTGTTTGTAGGTGACCAAATACTTATTTTCCACCATAATTTGCAAATAAATTCTTTCCAAATCAGCCAATGTGATTGTCTGGATTTTTTTTCTCATTTTGTCTCTCATAGTTGAGGTCTACCTATGATGCCAATTACACGCCTCTCTCATCTTTTTAAGTGGGAGAACTTGCACAATTGGTGGCTGACTAAATACTTTTTTGCCCCACTGTATATATATATTTATTATCTCCTCTTGTACCCCCTCCCCCAGTAAATATGCAATTAAACATTTTCAAGCAAATCGTTTTATTTTCAATAAATACCTCTTTTGAGACCCTGTGATATCATCACTGGGTCTGTCTTCTGGGCCTTGTTCTGAGGTTGGTGAGAGAGGGTCCAACATGCTTCTGTAAATGTTGCAACACCCATCCCTGAATCATCTTTACAGAGCGTTATAGGAAGTGCACATCCCTGGTATTCCTTTAAGGTCTCATACTCCTCCCTGCTGCCTAATGGGTGTTGTAGACTTTTGTAATGCAATATGCTTGTAGGCAGGTGCCTACTAAGTGGCAGTTATGTTTTTTTTTATTGTTATGCCCAGGGCTGTCTTAATAAATAAATTAGGCATCCTCGCCCCCTCCTCACTCCCAAAAAACATTCCAAATATGGGAGAAGAGGCTGGGAGGAGGAGGAGCAGCAGATCCAAACGGAAGTGGGTTGCTACTACCTATCAAATGTATTAGGTTTAAAGCATATAAGCTCACTGTGCCCGACTAGCAATCTCCATCTTTTTATAAGCAAAAATCCAATTCCAAAAATGTCGGCAACAGGAGAATACAAAAATCTTCTTTATTGCATAAAGAAGTAAAAATATTACATGGCAAATTTAATCTAACCCGTTTCATTCTAAAAACAGACCTTATTCATAGCTAGCTGGAGATGGAAAAGCAGAACTAGCAATCTCCATCTTATAAGTACAAATCCAATTCCAAAAATCTCGGCAACAGGTGAATACAAAAATCTTCTTTATTGCATAAAGGAGTAAAAATATCCCATGGCAAATTTTCTCTAACCCGGTTCATTCTAAAAACAGACCTTATTCATAGCTAGCTGGAGTAGGAAAAGCAGAACTTCCCCATTTTGGGTGAAGTTCTACATTAATCATGCATAACTAAGGGGATGCTATGAATGTGTTCTTTCATATAAAGCTTGGAAACAAAATGATTGATGGCAGAGAAAGCTAATGAGAGGTGTGGCAACAACAGTATGGATCATTGCGAAAGGGGATTGTAGATGATTGAAGTCTTGCAGACAGGAAATGAAGATAGATGCTGCAGCTCCAAAGGTTTATATTGTGGAGATGCAAGATTGTAGGGAATTCAGAGTAATCAGTTTCAGCAGAGAAAAGGACTAGCTACAAATTTTGAAAAAAGCTGGATTTCAGCTTTAGGTATTTGTCATTTGCAGCTAGATCAGTCATAGGAAAATAACTAAATCCTGACTAGCCTCTTATACCTAGGATGTCCGGATGCTTGAGCAAAATCCTCAAACCAAGTCTTATTGTTGTACTTGTGGTTTCAGTCCCGGCAAAGAATAAATTCATCACTGTGACAAACAAGTTTTCAAAGTGAAACTCTGTGTTGGGATTATCCTTCTCCTGAGAACAAAGCAGAAATAACATACTAAAAACTTTGAGGAAGAATTCCAGCTTTGGCAATTTTTACATAGTTACAGTACATTGGTTCAGCTTGGTGTGTCTGTGCCATATCTGTGGGATCCCCTTGGAGGCTGGGAATTGCTTGTTTGCCGAGTGGCTATGAACACAAAGAGTTTGCTTGTTCGGTATGGGTGCCATTCATGGAACACTTTTAAAATTACTTAATGAATGTAAAGCTTTCTCTAATGGGATGAGGTGGGGGAACTGACATCACAATCTCCACTTCGATCAATTAGAGAACACTTTGCATTCATTGAGAATGTGTATGTTCTCTGTATGTCGGCCATATCACTGTAGAAGCCGTTCAGTTTAGGGGTGTCTTTTTAAAGATTTATTGCAAAAGTTGAACATGAGGGGGAAGATGGATGATGATGAAGGATAATTCAAAAGCACAAGCAGGTACAGAAGGACAGATTCTCAATAAATTCCTTTAGTAACAACCTTAAGTATTAACATTGTAAATAATTAAATAACACATGGAAGTGCCATGCAGTTTAAAGGTGTTGGATAAACCACACAAATCACATGATAAACAAAAGCGACAGACTGTTCAAATTCAGTGTTACAAATTCCAGACAGTGATAAGTCCCCTTGCCACCAACAAATTTGCACACTCTGCAGTGTTTTTGTTTGAGTGTTTTTGTTGTGCCACATTAGGATTGCTGTGCTCCATCAATTTCCAAACACAATTGATCTTCGGTGTCTTCCCCTTGGGTGTGCTCACACACCAGAAATAGTTGTGACTTTTTACATATGTAAGAAAAGTCACAAAAATGCTCCAGAAATACAATATCTTCTCCTTCTCCCCTGAGCTAGTAAGTCTGCACTGCCAAGAAACCTCAAGTAACCTTCCAAAATGTTGCCAATATCTCCCTTCCCAATGAGTCAAGAGAGATGCAATCATTGAGGGGATCTCCATTTTGTAGCCAATTTATTAAAATTGTTTAAAATTAAACAGGAAGCCATTTCTGATGATGTCCTATGATGACATGTGTTGGGCTTGGCTAAGGTCCATTATGTTCCACTCAGTAAAACTCACCCTTGCACCCAGTAAGCAGCGAGTGGAAAGGTGTTCTTGACAGAGATTTTGCTGGAAATCAGGTACTTGTTTGAGGTACAGTGGAATGTGAATGTTCTAACTTGTAATTTTCAACAATTTTTAATAAATGTGATTACGCTATGGAGATCCCTTCTCTGATTGTATCTCTCTGAGCTCCTTGAAAGGGAAAGATTGGCAATATATATTGGAATATTACTGGGGGTTTCTTGGCAGCTTGGACCCATTAGATGAGGAGAGAAGGCGAGAGTTTTTGTGACTTTTCATATATATAGATATACATGGAGGTTAGGGCGGCACACACCCAGCATGGAACTTGATCCTTCAGGTGCAGAGCAGATAATGGAAATCACCCAAAACTCCAATATATAACTACAATCAGGGGCGGACTGACAACTCATGGGGCCACCGGGCAATAGGGGATCATGGGGCCCCTGTGTCCTTGCCCAAACTCAAAAAAGCCTATGAAAAAGGTACCAGGGGCATCTCATGGGGCCCCCTACTGACCCTGGGCCCTCGGCAGTGCCCGAGTTTCCAAATGGTCAGTCCGCCCCTGACTACAATATATAGAAAAAATGAAAAAAAAGTGTGCAATCTGCAGCACCTTGTAAATTTAGGAGAGTTAAAAGCTCATCAAACAAACATCAAAATAACGTTTTGGACCTGTTAAGATCCTTCATCAGGTATAACAAACTTGAAAAAGCAGGTTCTCTCATTGACTGAAAATTAGCAACACTGGAATCATCTCAACTCAAAACATAATATCTCCCCCATATAGACAATCCACATGGACATTTAAGGATATAAATTACATATGACATGTATACAATCCCTTAATGTCAATAGATTTTCCTGAATAGGGATGTGTAAACGAGGTGCCCCGATCATACCGGAAGGCCTCTTGCAATAAGGTGAAGCCATCAGCAGATCTGCTTGCTCAGTGTGGGATCTGTCTGCTGGTCCCCGCTGAGCAAGAGGATGACAGGTCCATGTCTGTTCTGCATAAGAAGAGTGGCCATGGACACAATCCACTGTCCTCTACGGGCAGCCAGATGGAAATGGATCCCCATCCGCCACTTTTTGTCAGATCAGATTGGACGCGTGAAAGCAGCTGAACACTGTGCACAGGATAAGCAGGGGAAAGAACCATTTCTTTTTGGACCTATAAACTTTAGTACTCCCATCACCTTCTCACTCTGAAATTCAGAATTAATAATCATATTCTTAATAGTTCTACCCCTCCTATAAAATTATATGGGGGGTTTAAATTCCCCAATATCAGGAAAAGCCTCTCTAAGAATTCTCCAGTGTTTTCTAATTACTGAATAAACATGTGCAGAATAGGAATGATACTGTGTAACAACAGGAATTCTTTTATTCATCTGTATTGTCTGCTCTCTCTCCTATCAGTTTACAAATTCTGTACTCTCATGGATTATTTCTCATGGATAATATCAGCTTCTCATGGGTTATTTGCTGTGCCGGATAACCCATACTGTATCTCCAAATATGGAGAATTCTTAGAGAGGCTTTTCCTGATATTGAGGAATTTAAAAGGTGCACGAGACCCACATGTGAAAAGGACACTTGGAAATCTGACGCATTTCGAAGAGCGATCTCCTCTTCATCAGAACCTACCAGGTAGGAGGATGAAAAGGAGATCGCTCCCCCCGAAACAAGTCAGCCATTTCCAAGTGTCCTTTTCACATGTGGGACTTGTTAGGAATTCCCCCTTTCCTGGAATCCTTATATTCTTATTTCTTATTTCTTAGGACTCGTGCACCTTTTCAGACCATGGACCATTGTTGGTCATGATATGCCTGTTTACATTTTTCGTTTGTGAGTATACATCTACTATTTGTTACGATTAAAGTTTTTATTGAGGTAATGTGCAAGACTTGTGTACCCTTTTATTTTCTTATTTTCTAGTGCCATATTGGGCTACCCCAGCCCTTAAGGGGCTGCACAGTATTGCCGTATTGGTTTGAATGCTAAGGTCTGTGAAGATTTTTCAACATATGCCTCATCCGGTCCTTTCAGCGCAGGAGATTTTTCATTCTTTTCTTCTTGGCCCAATTAAGATTTATGGTATTTTATCACATGCCACGACTGAAGAGAGGGGGAAACGGAGTTAAAACTAAAACAGAAGAAAGTGAGGTAGATTTCACAACTAAATACAATTTATCCTACGGGGTTGAATTAGGATTATGAATTACATCTGTTTTTTTATAAATATTTTGTAAAATATTTTGTTTCTTTTTATATATATATACATATATATTTTAAAATGTCTTTATTTATATGGTTAGCACTTCCGCCTGGCAGTACTAGGGCTGTTGGTTTGAATCCCAACCATGGCACCACCTGACTGGAGTTTGCATGTTCTTCCTGTGCCTGCGTGGGTTTCCTCCGGGTACTCCGGTTTCCTCCCACACGCCAAAGACATGCTGGTAGGGGAATTGGACCCTGTCTAAATTGGCCCTTGTATGTGTATGAATGTGAGTTAGGGACCTTAGATTGTACGCCCCTTGAGGGTTAGGGACTGATGTGAATGTACAATATATATGTAAAAGCGCTGCGTAAAATTGACGGCGCTATATAAGTACCTGAAATAAATAATAAATAAACCACGGCACCACCTGCCTGGAGTTTGCATGTTCTCCCTGTGTCTGGGTGGGTTTCCTTTGGGTGCTTTGGTTTCCTCCCACACTCCAAAGACATGCTGGTAGGTTAATTGGATCCTGTCTAAATTGTCCCTAGTATGTGTATGTATGAATGTAGGTTAGGGACTTTAGACTGTATGCTCCTTGAGGGTTAGGGACTGATGTGAATGTACAATATATATGTAAAGTTCCGCGTAAACTGATGGCGTTATACAAGTACCTGTAATAAATAATAATAATAAATAAAATATTCTCCTCTGACATCAACAAGACATTTTTGTCGACTCAACTGGCGCTCATTGGACATTTTCTCTTTTTTAGACCACTCTCTGTAAACCCTAGAGATGGTTGTATGTGAAAATCCCAGTAGATCAGCAGTTTTTTTGAAATGCTCAGACCAGCTTGTCTGGCACCAACAACCATTCCATCTGCAAAGTCACTTAAATCCCCTTTCTTCCCCAGTCTGATGCTCGGTTTGAACTTCAGCAAGTCATCTTTTACCACATCCAGATTCCTAAATGCAATAAGTTGCTGCCATGTGATTGGATGATTAGCAATTTGTGTTACCAAGCAATTGAACAGGTGTACCTTATAAAGTGGCCAGTGAGTGTATAGTCCCTGCATCACTGCTGAATTTCATACCACATAAAGTGGTTGCATGACCACTACATTCATTTTATTTTAAAAAGGGGGTATTTAGCTAGAAAATTTGGATAAATAAAGATTGTGCTTTTTCGAGGATAGGGAAGGGAATTGGAGGAAACAATTACTTTGATGCCTGGTGTTCTACGTGAAACCTATTTTTTGGATTGGGTCTGGAAAGATTAGCACCACTATCATGATTGTATTGCTGTCTGTGACCCTACTGGGGAATCCCCCCCTTACTTTCTGTCTCTGACAAGAATACAAACTTGAAAGACAAGAATTTGAAGGTTAGAATTTCAAACCCTTTTCCACACTATTCGAATCCAAAAACAAAACATTTTACCGAGAGATAAACTTTCAAAATCAAGAAAGTCCATGGCTCTTTGTTATACATACTATACTGTTATGAAGCAATTGGAAGCATCTTGAAAGTTTGACAGTTAACTCTTTTATGTGCTTCTATCTATGGCACAGAGTACAACATTCTGCTATTGATAGCCCTATTGTCTGCAATAGGCTACAGCTATCTACAGACAATTAATACATGATCCTGAATATGCTGAATAATTGCTATGAGAAACCAAAAAACTTTATATCTACATTTTTGTATGACAAAACCCAGTGGAATGTGATTTGTAACAGAGCAAATCTTACCTCTTCCATCTTTATGAGGAAACAGTCAATAAAATCCCTGGGACAGTTCTGGTCCAGGGTTTCTTGATGCTCCTTGACCTTATCCATTACAAATGCTTTCAAAGTGAAGAGATTTTTTAATGCCTTTTGATGAGGTCCAGGCATATGGCGGAAAAGGTTTGGGAAAGCATTTAGTAGCTGCAATAAGAATAATCCAATTATAAACTCTCTCTATATGCATGACAAAAGCACAATAAAATATCTTTTCACTTAGCAACTGAAATTTTTTTGTTTGAGTTGGGTTATCTTTAGGAGTGCAAAAATGTGTTTTATGCACATTTGCATATACATTCGGCCTACTCAGAACCACCGGAATATATCTATTATCTAACTTATAGTTTGTTCAGGCTCATCATTATGTAAGACTCAATTCTCAAACAGTTGAAGACTTCCATGACTTTAAATACATGTGCCTCTAGTATGGGGGCTCTTAAAATTTGTAGAGTTAGGAACTGTAGAAAATCAGGATGCCTTGATGAGGCTCTGTAGCTTAAGCATGTATTTGCAAATGTGTGCTAACTAACTAACTAACCTGTTTTTAACGCAACTGTTAGACAGGTTAATTCAGTTTGTTTGCAGGCTGGTTGGCAAATGTTGTTTGACGTGCGTTGCACTTTCATGTGCTCCTTGGTGTGAAGGCCAGTTATAGACTGGGATAGTGGCCATTTTTTGTACTGTTGAATTGTTGGTGAGGGGGCTGGACACCTTAACTGCCATTGTGCTACATGCTGGGTGTCCAGTGCACTTCTGTACCTTTAAGGAGGGTGGGCTTCCTCAGGTCCACCTGCCATTGGCCTATCCATTAAATACATGTGCCTCTACTATGGGGGCTCTTAAATTTTGTAGAGTTAGGAACTACAGAAAATCAGGGTGCCATGATGAGGCTCTTTAGTTTGCGCATGTATTTGCAAATGTGTGCTAACTAAACCCCTGCTTTTAATGCATACTGTTAGACAGGTTCATTTGGTTTGTTTGCAGGCTGGTTGGCAAGTTGAGCTGGGAATTTTTCTCTTTTGTTGTTTGACTTCCATGCTGAGCCTGGAGGGCCATATATAAAGTGACGGGTGGAAACATTACATACTTGCTATATATTCTTGCAGAAGCTTCTGAGCTGCACAGATTGCCAGTGCCTCCATACAACATTCTAAAGCATTCAATGAGCACTTAGCAGTGGCATCTGAAACTCAACCCAGCTCTCTGCAGACATGGACTGTCTTTCAACCATTGCTCACACTGGTCCTCTTGCAACGTCTTATATATCATATTCCAATTAATTTTGACTCCACTATTATACGTTCCTCTCCAGTGTAGCCACTATTGTCTGGCTGCATACTATGTTTGCACTCAACCTCATCCAATCATTGAATTGCATTTATTGGGAAGATGCAAATCACTCTCTGATTGGCACCAGTGCCAAGTGGGTGACCTCCTGTGTTCACAATACAGCAGGACAGCTACCTGCCACACGACCTACAGTAGAAGCTAGTGGTGATCACTGTAGTAGTGGTGCCTAGCACAACGATTTGCAGATTCCACAGGGATTGGCCAGGTATCATATATGCATATTTACATTGGTTCAAGCTGTTCCCATCCTGTGTTCACTCAGGACAGGGATAACTATGCTGAGTTATTACATGGTCTGGTTGTCTCACAGAAAAAAAGGGTTATACCATCTGCCTTCAAAAAATTGCTTAAACCTTCAAATATCTAGCACTCAATTGATTGGAGAAAGATTGGAGGAACCTCTATTGCTATAAAAGTATAAAGAATGAGACCAAACTATGTAAGAAACTCTTACAAGTGTAGGATAGGAAAAGCAAAAGCATGACTACCAGTAGTTAGTCACATTCAACTGGACCTTTTCTGTAATGCTGAAGTTTGTAGCTTTCAAAATTCTTCTTCAAATCCAATGAATGTTAGGAATATACCCCAACATGTATATGCCCACCATAAGACAACTTTAACTTAATTGTTGGTGTTGATTAATGCTAGAATTTCTTTCTTAAACACAACCTATTTCCATATCTTTCTTTTGTTCTGTCCTTTTTTATTTAGAGAGTTATACTAAAAATGATGGTACTAAAGTGCCTGCTCTTTTGGGAACCCCTATGACCTCTATTGATTATAGACTTGATTAACTTAGAATCCAACTATAAATATTTTACATGCATTGCTTACTTTCATTCCAGTCTTACAATATAGAGATTCACAGATATTGTGTTTACCTGCCCAGCTAATGAATTTATTATTCTAAAGGCTTCTTTCAGCATAGTAAGAAGGCCAAGAAACTTCTTGTCTTCATAATCAAAACGTTCACCAAATACGATGGAGCATATCACGTTGGATACCGCCAGAGTCAAGAGGAATGTGGGGTCAAACGGTAAACCTGGAATAAAATTGAAATATTCTCAGATCAAAAAGAGTAATATATTATTATTCACTCACTGGCAATTTTATTATGTACACCTGTTCAATTGCTTGGTAACACAAATTGCTAATCAGCCAGCCAATCAGATGGCAGCATTTGCCATCTAGATGTGGTGAAGATAACTTTCTGAAGTGCAAACTGAGCATCAGAATGGGAAGAAAGGGGATTTAAGTGACTTTGAACATGGCATGGTTTTTGGTGTCAGACAAGCTGGTCTGAGTATGTCAAAAACTTCTGATCTGCTGCGATTTTCACACACAACCATATCTAGGGTTTACAGAAAATGATCCAAAAAAGAGAAAATATCCAGTGAGTGGCAGTTGTGTGGATGAAAATGCCTTGTTGATGTCAGAGGTCAGAGAAGAATGGGCAGACTGGTTCGAAATGATAGAGAGGCAACAGTAACTCTTGTCAATATGGACCAGAATCTCTGAGGAATGTTTCCAATACCTTATAGAATCTATGCCACTGCGACAAATTGTCCCTGTGTGATCACATTTTGCCCTTTCTGTTTCAGTTTCATCCCCTTTATAAAGCTGGACATGTTTCACAGACATTCTACACTGTTTGTTTAGGGAAATGTGACCTGGTAGTCTTTCACTTCTAATAGAGTTCATACTGTATTGTTAGTTGTAGAGTTTGTTGTGGGTGGGGAAAACCCGGTGCCAGGCTGTCTGGTGGGGGTGGGGTTGAAGCTGTATATACTGAGATGTGTTTAATAAAGAGTCAGTCTTTATTCACCCTACACGAAGTTCCGACTCATGGTTTTGGGTAGAGCAAAAGGGAGGGTTTCTTAGCTATAATATCTGCCTTGGGAGAGTGCTGGAAGACTTGCTGGAAAAGAGGACCATTGGGTGTGACACATAGCTCCGCACGAGGAAGCCCAGGCGGAACGGTTCCGCCACAATTGGTTGGCAGCGGTGGGATCTTTCCTCATTGCGGAGAAAGTCCAAACCACCAACCGGGATCCCATCTTTTTCACGGAGACATCCCTGCTCAGCCAGATGGATATACGGGACCTCCGGAAGCCAGCTCTCCAAAGCCTGCTTGTTGCTCGGGGAGGTATCGCTGGCTCCAAGACCAGAGAGGAACTGTTGGACGAGATTATGGACCTGGACCAAGCGGATGCGCACCCCGCTCCACCTGATGCACACTCCGCTATGCTTAAAGCGAACACTGCTCCACCAGAAGTGAACTTTGCTTCACAGGAGGAGTTGGAGGACCAGAGCAGCTCATCGGCCCCTGAAACACCAGGCCCATTTAGCACCGTACAGAGACCCCTATACCATTCGGATTTACGACAAGAGGTGGAGTGGCGGTTGTCTCTGTTTGGCAGCGCTCCCACCTCTGAACAGATTTCCAAGGCCCTGGACGATGCCACCCAACTGCGGCTTAGTCACTCCCGGTCATCAACCGAGGACTCGGTCTGGGAGAGGATTACCTCCCGCCTTCTCCAGACTGCAACCGGACCAAAGAAAATTCCCTATGCTGCTTTTAAAACTTTCTCAGAGGCGGATGGGGACATTGATAGCTTTCTTCAGGACTTTGAACGTTTGTGCACCATCCATGGTGTGGCAACCCAAGACCGGGTCCCCATTTTGAGCAGCAAGCTAACCGGTCGGGCTGCAGACGCATTCAGGACTGTACCCGACAGCTACTGCCTGGATTATGATTTTGTTAAAGAACACTTGTTGGCCCGCTACGCTCTCACCCCAGAGGCGTATCGCTTAAAGTTTCGGACACTCAAGAAGAAATCCCAGGACACCTTCACTGAATGGGGACATCAGTTACAGCACACTGCCCGCAGCTGGGTCAGAGGGTGTCAGATCACCAAGCTGGAGGAACTGTTACAACTGCTGTTACTGGAGCAGTTTTACAATGGACTTCCAGGGGATGTTAGACATTGGGTCCGGGACAAACACCCCCTAACCTTAGCCGACGCTAGTCGCTGGGCAGATGAGTACCTGGACAACAGGAGGCTAACAGAGCCCACCATTCCCCCTGCACCTCGTCCACAACCAGTGGTGCCCACTCCGGTCACCCGAGAATGCCTCAGACCACCCACACCTTCTGACCCAAAGTGGTCTGGCCCACGCTGTTATGGCTGCAACCAAACAGGGCACATCCGCATTCATTGCCCCCGGAATCCACCAAGGCTCCAGAGCAGCCAACCCCCTCGGGGCACTTCCAACCGACCTACCATTCCCTATGGCCGAGCCTCTGCCTACTCTCTACAGGACCACCCGAGTGACACCGCCTCTTCATGGAGGAATTTTACCAGCGAGGATGAGGACATCGGGGTCTTTCATGAGGCTAACCCTCTCCAAGCTGCAACCCCGGACAATCGCCAACACCACCAACAGGTTGTCCATGTTAACGGCCGTCAGGCCCAAGGATTACGGGACACTGGGGCCACACTCACCCTAGTCCAACCTCAACTGGTACCAGACTGGGCCAAGACTGGGCGATCTGTAGCTTTACGGGTAGCGGGAGGCCATGTCTACCGGATTCCTACCGCAAGGCTTCATCTGGATTGGGGGGCCGGGGCCAGGGATGTTGAATTTGGAGTAATGCAGAACTTGCCAGCTGAGGTGCTCCTTGGAAATGATCTGGGAGTCCTGGTCTCCACTTTTTGGCACAGAGACCCCTGCTGAAGCTCAACCCAGTACCGACCGGGGAAGCAAAACGCCAACGCAGATAGATTGTCCCGGGAAGCCAAGTTGGAGAAGTGACCCTCTGAACCGACCAGCCCCAAGCGGACCCGTTTGAAGGTCTCGCGGGTCTGGGGGGTGTTACACAACGGGGGAGTATTGTGACGAATTGTCCCTGTGTGATCACATTTTGCCCTTTCTGTTTCAGTTTCATCCCCTTTATAAAGCTGGACATGTTTCACAGACATTCTACACTGTTTGTTTAGGGAAATGTGACCTGGTAGTCTTTCACTTCTAATAGAGTTCATACTGTATTGTTAGTTGTAGAGTTTGTTGTGGGTGGGGAAAAACCCGGTGCCAGGCTGTCTGGTGGGGGTGGGGTTGAAGCTGTATATACTGAGATGTGTTTAATAAAGAGTCAGTCTTTATTCACCCTACACGAAGTTCCGACTCATGGTTTTGGGTAGAGCAAAAGGGGAGGGTTTCTTAGCTATAATATCTGCCTTGGGAGAGTGCTGGAAGACTTGCTGGAAAAGAGGACCATTGGGTGTGACACATAGCTCCGCACGAGGAAGCCCAGGCGGAACGGTTCCGCCACAGCCACAAAGAATTAAGGCAGTTCTGAAGGCAAAAGGAGGTCCAACCTGATACTAGCAAGGTGTACCTAATAAAGTGGCCAGTGAGTGTACATGCTTGATAGGGGCTAATAGAAGAAAACTAAGGGGCCCTTTATAGAAAAAAAAATGTTGGACAAATGTCACAAGTGTTTGACCAGCTGTCACAAACAAACATTGTATTTTGCTTAGTACATTGGTTATTTAAGATAGTAAGCTTCATCAATTGGTCATAATGCAATATTTTCATGTTTGAGCTGGACAGGGCTTAGATGCAAGCCAAGTATAAATGCTGTATTTGGAAGTTGATATTCTACAGAATGGACAATTCCACTCACTAATGTTACTGTTCTGCCTCCAGCAGGGAAATCCATTAGGTTGTCCTATCTGCAACATCAAATTTGGCCACTAGATGGAGCAGGTAATAAATTTACTGTTTTACAGAAACTAGAGACTGTTTGGCCATAATAAAAAAAAATCCTTCATTCTAAGGAAAGGTAAGAGATGCATCTTGGGATTTCCGACTCTATTTTAAAAGGATAAGTTCACCTTTTAGAAAACAAAGCATCAGTGATCAGCAGATCGATGGTGCCATGAAGGTCCCCTGCATATCTGTCAGAATATCTGCTTTCTCATACTGGATGTACGAGCAAGCACATATACTGACAGGAAGAATGAATGAACTATCACGCTTCATAGCGCCATGCTAGTTCATTGAGGACTACAAGCTGACAGCCGCTAAGGCTGTCGGGACTTGTAGTCTCTCATTCACAGATGACTTTTTAAATTTGACAGCTAGCGAGGGGGGAGAAGATCATCCACTAGCTGTCAAAGTGGGGATGAGGGGGAGCAATAAGTGAGGGAAAGAAACCAACTATTGTAGCACACATTTTGTGGACTAAAAACTTACATCCCCCAAAGGCATAATTTGGCAACATTATAAAAAAAAAAATTAGGGACACTTTTTTTGCAGTGCATCTAGCAAGCCGTTTGTAGGTGGAGAATGCACTTTAATTAGGGGAGGGGCATTCATTTAAAATGGGCATGGTTCTAAAAGAGGCATAGCATTAGCCCAGTCCGACACATTTGTGAACCCTTAAGTCGGCTTTAATGTGAAATTATAGGCTACCACTAATCTTAAAACTGCTCTCACCCACCGCCTAACACCTATACTAACTACTCCGTGTAAGAAAGGTTTCCTTACTTTCCTATTCTCAGGCCACTCTGGTCTGATCCTGTAATCCTTTGGGGTTTATTTACTAAAGCTGGAGAGTCCAAAATCAGACTCTTTTCTGCATAGAAACCAATCAGCTTCTAACCTCAGCTTTGTTCAATGAAGCTTTGGCAATGAAACCTGGAAGCTGATTGGTTTCTATGCAGAGGGGAGTCTGATTTTGGACTCTCTCCAGCTTTAGTAAATAAACCCCTTTGTGTCAAAGGCAGTGGCTGCAGGAGAGAGGAGAGAGTGCTCCAACAACAGCTGGGAATGTTTTTTTTCTCAAAAAAATAGAGCTTTCTTTTGGTGGATTTAATCGCCACTGGGCGCTTTACTTTTTTTGCGCTATAAATTAAAAAAAAGTGCAAAAAAATTTTAAAAAAAAAAGTTTATTTGTTTCTTTTTTAAAATTTTTCAAACAGGGAATTTTTTTTCCTTCATGATTTTCGTTAGAGGCGGCACTGATGGGCACTGATAG